ATGAATTTTGATATAACAAATTTTACAATACAATGGATTCCAGTGTCAGACAGATTTTTAAATATAAAAAAATCCTTATTATACTGAATTTAGTAATTAAAAATTCATATTATATTTAACAAATTAAAGTCAGAAAAATTTATATATAAAATGACTCTTTTTATAACGAATTTTCTTTATAACAAATTTTTTTTTTGATATAATGAAGTTTTGCTTAAAATGAATTACTAGATTTATGTATATAAAATTTTGTAATTCTCTGTGCCTAGTTTTTAAATAAAATTAAAAATAAATAAATATTTATATAATGCATTATGTCTTATGTTTTATATTTTTTTTTACATATTTTATTTTTTACATATATTTTTTCTTTGCATAATGCTAATAATGCTAAAAGTAAACTCAAAGAAATAACTTAATCAACCTACTAATAAATAATAAGAATCTTTTAAAAAAATATAAGTCTTTATAGCTGCATAAAAAAAAAACTTTATTTGAAAAAATATCATCACCTTTTTTAAAACAAAAAGACTTGGCTAATAAATATGACATTGGTAAAGGCATGGTAAGTAACATTTTAAAGGAAAGATCATTGGCTTTCTGTAGATACTAATTCATACTAAGCTAATTTGAAATGTGATAAGAAAACTCCATTTTCTCTCGTTAAAGAAGCATTAGTAATATGAGTAGATAACACACTCAAAGCTAGTCTCATTATTACTGATGATATTCTTTTAACAAAAGCCTTGAGTTTTGCTTTTTTATTAAAGAAAAATAAGTTTAAAGGATCTAGTAGTTGGGTAGATAACTTTAAAAATAACACAACTTTAAACAGTATTATATACAAAGGGAAGCCGCAAGTGCACCACTTGAAGATCTTAAAACAATGAGAGAGAATCTCTGGTAAATATTAAAAAAATATAATCCTGAAGATATATTAAATTGTGACAAAATAGGATTATTTTAGAAAATAAAACTATGTCAAATGATATCTAACGAATATATATCAGAAAAGAAATAATTAAAGAATTGTGTAATAATTCTACTCACATGCAATGTAACAGGAAGTAAAAAGCTAATGCCTTTATTTATATACAAGTATAAAAATCTTAAGGTTATTAAGAATATTAATAAAAGAACGCTTCTAGTTGAATACTATTAAAACTAAAAAAATTGATTATTATTTTTATTTTATAAGATCCTTTCTATTTCATTTTATTTTTTAAATTATTTATTATAGAAAATTAATTTTTAATAATACAAAATATAAAAATAATAAAAAATATAATATGTATAAAATATTTACAAATTTATTTAATTTATCTAAATAATATAAATAACTTTAATCATATAAATTAAAAAATATTCAATATAATATAAATTATATATATATTTTTAATTCTTTTTTATTTTTAATTTTATATTATTATTATTTTATTTATTTAATATATTAAATAAAAAATAAGTTTATATAATTTATTAAATATTTTTATTATTTTTTTAATTTCTTTCTTATTTTCTAATATTTTAGTTTTTTCTTAATTATTTTTATTTTTCTTTGTTTTTTTAACATTTTTATTATTTTAATTATTATAATAACTTTTTGATATTTTATTTAATTTTCTTTGATATTTTATATTATACAAATATTCTAAAAATTTATTTCTATGATTTTATTATCTAAGTTTTTATATAATCATTTTATATATTTATGTATTATTATAATATTGATATTGATCTTTTAAATATTTATTCTTTTCATTAAGTATTAGTTTTTCTATTTTTCTTGTAATTTTAGATTTGTAATTTATCTGTCTTTTGTCAAATAACTTTGATTAAATATTAACTTTTATTTGATTAATCATTTTCTAATCATTTAGTGTTTAATAGTATTTTCTTTTTGTTGGGTTTTGTGAATTTTTGTCTCTATGTAAATATAAAAAACATTTAAAGATATCATTAAAAAGAAGGATTAGTCATTAAAATTTTATTTTTATTTATATGTAATATCACAATTCATATATAAAAAAAAATTGGTTATAAGTCCTATAATTTAAAATTATTATTATTTTTCATCATTACTGTTTTTAATTAAAGTATAATCCTTTTTACTTTTATATAGTAGTAAGAGACTTGTATTTTCTAAAAGATTTACTTTAGGTTGATTTGTTGGTTTTAATAAATTTGCTGAAAGATATAGAAGTTTTCAGCATCTTAACAAAATTTGTAATATGTATAACACGTCAAACATGAAAATCCGTTGTTAAATATATAATAAATGTGGAGATTTCCATTTTTGTAAAGAAATTCATGCGATCATAAACTTTTATTAAAAAAAATTTTTTGCAATAAAAAAATTCGGTATAACAAATATTCGTTTTATGTTATACAGCATTTAATTAATAAATTTGGACAGCATAGTTCTCCCATGGCGTTTGTTGCTTTGCCCAAATCTTTGAAGTCCAAAATAATTAGCCTTAGATAACTTATGTACTGTATATTGAATATTTACTACTTTAGAATTATGATACATAATCTAAAATATCGAATTTATTGATTTGTAAACATATGCTGTGTTGCCCGAGGCTTTAAATTCTTGATCGGCTAAACATTTATGGCAAATGCCAATTCAGATCAAGGTAATTAAATCGATTTCATCGGGTATAATCATTTTTGCTTTATGTGATTAATTTGGAAAGAGCTGCATTATGCAGGTGCCTTTGTACTTTTGCAAAATAATGTAAATTCATTGGCCTGTCTATAAGAAAATTTAGAAGGCTTATTTTAAGCATATTACTAGAATGCGAAATGATGGCGTTAGGTCTTATTCATTTCCCAATGCAAACTCACGAAATGTAATAAAGGTTGGGTTGTGTGTATCGAAAATTATAAGTTTCGCAAATATTTGCATCACTGGTTACTTTATATGATGAAAGTACGAAAATTTTCTAGATACGGACGGGATAATTTAATTGATAGATACAGTACAATAGAAAATTCCGGAAATATGAGAAAGATTATAACGCGTACTCCTCTGATGATAAAACTGTTCTTATTGAAACACGGATCGGATCATATTTGTATGAATGGATTATTGGGGCGTAAGAATTTCTTAGATGACAATACGATAGAAACAATAGAAAATTTACGGAAATATGAGAATGAATAAGAAGCGTACTTCACTCTCTTGGATAAAGTTTTTTGGCGCAAATTTTAGGAATTTATCTTCCTTGTATGGGTTATATTCTTTTATTCTTTGTGATTATTAGAGTGAAGTATAAAATATTAAGGCGGAGTTAAATGAAATCGGAGTATTAAAAATGTCGGAGTTATAACATTTATATTGTTCTGATGCACACATAAGCCGCCTTTCCAAAATTAGGTTTATTGGATTCGGAATTAAGTGTAAATTTTGATTTACAAAAATTCAATTATAATCTCGAGTCGGTTTTTTTGCTATATAAACTGCTGTTTTCGAATCAAGAAAAAAGATAACTTAAAAATCAAGTTCAAAGTTTTCCTTTAAATAACTTAAGAATCGAGTCAAAATTTTCCTTTAATATTCCCTTATAATCAACCAATTTAACAATCTAATCGTCTACCTGTTCACTTATTTTTAATGTAGGGATTTTTTTTTACAGACTGTATATTATTTTTCATCTATTCGTATGGTTGTTAATCTTCTTTTATTCTCTTTAGATTACAATGGGTCTTAACATTATTAAATTTTTCTCGGTTCTCTCGATTCTTCTTTTCGTTGTCTCAGCGTCTCCCACTAGTTTGGTTAAACGCGCTGTTGTGGTTTGTTCTACCTGTACACTTACAAACACTTGTGACGCATCCGGTACCGGTGTATGGGACTGCTCCACTTCTCAAATGGAGGGTTGTACTAATAATTGTATTAATTGTGTGGCAGTATGTAAAGACACAACATTTACTGTGGGTTGTGATTGCGTTTAATTTTTTCAATTATATATCACATTCTGGATTCCTCTTAATTTTCTTTCTGATATTATTCAATCTGATGTATTCTGATTTTTTGTATTGTATTGTTCAATCTTATGCATTATTATCATTTTTTATTAAGTTTCATTATATCTTTGTTATAATAAAATCTACTTGAAATAATGCAATAACCAAGTTTTTCATTATTCTTTTTTCTCGTGGTCGTCTTGTTGTGGAAAATTGTAAACACGTCACAAGATAATTCATTGTTATCAATTCAAATTAACAAATATGCCAAAAGAATAATGAAGTCGTTAAACAACTTTCCCAATGATCTTCAAAAAAATGCAATTGAGAAGAGATATAGAAAGGAAGAGGAAGATTTATGATCCGTCAATTTCAAAACGCATAGAAGAATATGATTTGCTGCGCAATTTTAATTTCGAAAATACTGTAACTATTTTTATTTTACCTATTTTTACTTTACTTATCATTTCGGGTTAATTTTTTGAATGGGCGGATGATCATCAACAATTGAACTACTACTAAACATAGTAACGATGCTAATTAGTCTATATCGAAATCGATGCATCTGATTAATAATAATATTTAGATAATCAATTAATAACTTGTCTGTACAATACAGATACTTGCTTGTTTTAATTTGATTAAAAAATTTAGCCGTTTAGCCATTTTTGCCATTTTTTATTTCCAACCAAATATGTAAAAATCTAGGGACAAACCTCCATCAATGTTACAATGTGAAAGAAACATATGGCTAAGACAAAATATAATAAGGACGACAAAATCATCATATTCAATATTTCTTTCCAACAACAATGGTCCATAGTTGTGATAGTAAATCAATACCAGGTTTGCCAGTAATAATACAAATCCATATTTTATGTGTTACACTGAAACACAAAAAATTTGACTTTATTTTATTTGAACGAAGCATACGTGTAATTTAATAATGAATAATCTATTTGTAAAATCAAATAATTTTTTAAACCCATTTTCTATTTCTCAATTGTTCATTTTTTAATTAATCTAGATTAACAAGTATCTTTTTGTTTGAAGAACCATAAAGAAGCCTTATAATGTTCATAAATCCCAATACATACACAAACGTGCCATATTGAATGACTGTGAATTCCGAATCGATCCAATTTCCCGGGCCAATTTCTTTCAGGAAATCTATTGGCATAGATCCAAACACCTGTGAGATAAGCAGCAATGCTCGAAACTATAGGCTGCATAAAATTCATTGTATTTTCAAATCCGTGAAGTAAAATTTTATGCGTTAAAGGGAATATTCCGGAACAACCGAGCATTAAGAAAAGACCAACACGGAACAAACGGAATGGCTTTGTGTCAAACCATGGGAACATTGAACATGCAATTGGGACAAGACCAGCTAATGATGTAAAGATAATATAAAATGTACCCAAAGATTTTGAACAATAAAAGCTGTAATATTCGGTGATTAAAATCGAGGCCGTGATTAAAAGTGATATCCCAATGTAATCGAACGTAGCAGCACATTTCATAACTGGAATGTGTGCGCAATGGATAAATGTATGATACATGACCGAGCAAACCAAGCTAAAATGAATAAACTACAGTTAATAGGTTTAATTTTTTTTTTTTTTTTAAAAAGAAAAAAAGAATACTCGCATAAAAATTACCATTTTGCTGCTGCCACGAAAAAGATTGCAAAGAAAAATTTATCGAACTTAGTTGCGTGTTCCAGAGTTAAGATTGAATATATACCCAAACCCAAAAAGAACACAAAACCTAAAAGATGAGTCCAAATATTGCAAGTTTCATTGTGAATCCAAAAGATTGATTGAAGACATTGTTTTTTAGTTGACAAGAAACGATATCCAGAACGAATGTATCTATGGGATATAAAAAAAAGGTTGATCTCAAAAAGTTTTTACAATTAAAATTAAACCGATTTATATAGATACTTACGGATTTTCTTGCCACTCTTTAGGCAATTCCTCAAAGTGCAATAAGCGATATGCACCTAATTTGGCGGCTATGCTTATAGCATTATAAGTGTCAACTACATGCTGGTCCACACATTTGAGGATTCCAGTAGAGTCAATGTCTTCCATCTCTTTTATTGTTTCCCGAAGGAAAGAAGTTGGCTTTTCAACCTCAATAAACTTTTCTTCCTTTGGATACATATTGAAGAGTAAAAGTGGATAAACAATAATAAAAGAAAGTGTGTGTTATATATAACTTTTTTTTGTTTAAAGGATTAAAACGGAATAGGAGAATATAAGGGAAGGATATTCTTCTTTGGCTTCTCTATGAACCTTTTTGTTTTATTCACCTCGGTATCTATGAACAAAACCGGAGGTGAACGGCCAAGAAAAAAAAAAGAATTACAAAGGAAGGAATAATGAAAATATCAAAATTGCGCGCACATCAACCCCAACGGTTAAACAGATTTTTTTGGGGTTTGTATTAACAGATATGGTAATTATTTATACACAACAGTTCTAGAATTTTAAATTTTTTGACATTTATATTTATCTTATTTTAGCATCACGTTCATTTTTACGTAGATCGCTCCTTTAACCAAACTTGGTTGGTTTTTTTATTAGGGAGGGCCAGAAATTACGTCATTTTGATTTTGAGGATCTTTGACCCTCCATCATATTACTTTTAAATAAGGAAATCATATAGTAATGTCAACCTAGGTGGACTCCCCTCCCCTCCTTATTAATTTAGCGATCGCTTCATTAGCATAGTAAAAAAACTTCATATACCATGGGAGCGTTGCACATTATGGATCTATATCTCATGACTGGTAACGTTTCCCATTGAGTTGTCATACCTTAAATTTTACCATTTTAGAAATTCCAATCAAAGATCTACAGATAAACAAATACCCATCGTTATCATACTTTATCTTATCTACAAATCACATAAGAATTTTCATTAAATGTAATGTATTTAAAAAAAATTATAAATTTAATTTTTAGATTTCTTTAAAAACTATATTATTAATTGTTATTATATAAATAATTATTAACTAGAGTTTAAATAAATAACAAATTTAACTTTAATTACTTTAATTTTATTTAATAATTAGAATTTTAAATTATAAATTTTTTTATTACTTATTAAAAAAATAATTAAATTTTTTTTTTATATTAATATTATTTTTGAAAAAATTATTAAATTTTTGTTTTAAAAGATGATATAATATTATTTTGATCTGATTTAAAAAAATTGAATTTAATAAATCAGTTTTAAAATTATTGTATTTTTACATAAATGATATTAATCAATTTATATTGTTTAATAATTTTAAAAAAAGTATTAAATTATTTTATAATAAAGCAAATCAAAATTTTATTTAATTTAAACTGATAATACTTATTTTATATCAACTTTAAGATATAAAGTTGTCTATACCTTTTTTGAATTTAAATAGTTATATAAAAATTTATAGTATTTTTTATAACTAAGAATATTTGATCATTAGAAACATTAGTTATTTATACATTTCCTTAACATAAATTACAAAATTTTAAAATTAGATTTGATCAATATCAATTTAATTTTTTTGATATTTATATTTATAAAATGATATAAATAACATAATGTAAAAATTTTTTATTTTATTTGTGAATACTTATTTTATTGCATTATATAATTTGTATATTTTAATTTTTTTTTAATATAATAGTTAAAAAGAAAGAACTAACTAAAGAATAACAAAACTAAATCATTAGTACTTAAAAATATGATATATCAGTTTTACTATTTATAAATATTATAAATTTTAAAAAATACTAATTAAACTGAATATTTATTACTTTATTCATTTATTAAAAAAGATAAAAAGTTTTCTTTAAATATTTTAACTAACAAGTTTATTGAATCAATATCTATTAAAATTTCTTCTCATACTATATAATCTTATATAAAAAAGGATTTTATGATTGTATAATAAAAAAAAATCTTTTAAAAATAAAAAGAATTGTAAAGTAAGTTTTGAATAAGTAAAAAAATAAATAATTAGAAAGGAAATATACTTTAATTCTAATTAATTTGATGATATTAAAATTAATTATGTCAATTTAACATTTATTATAAATTATTTATAAAATAATTATATCTATTAAAATATAATTTAATTAGTAATTTATTAATTTGTATTAAAATATAAAAGAAGAAGTAAAATTTTATTATTTAGAGTAATGTATTACAGTTTAAAATATTTAGAGAAAATAGTTAAAATTATATTTAAAGAAAAATTAAAATATTAATTGTTTAGTTTCTACTTTTAAATTAGATTGTAAAAGTATAATAGTTTAGTAATATTTTAATCAATTTGAATTAGATTATTTAGTTTGTATTTATGGTAATCAAAATATAAATGATTATATTATATCTTAAATAACTATTTGTTACTTTATATAAAAGGAATATAAAATTAAAATAATTATATATTTTAACAAAATAATACTTCAATTTATTAAACAACTACAACTTTATAATAAATTTCACAAAATATTTATTAATTAATTTTTTTGATTTACATAAAATTCTAATCTCAATTCTATTGAAAATATTTAGATGAATTAGAATATCATATTTGTTAATATATTCTTTTACTAAAAAACAAGACAGAATTATTTAAATTATTATAAAAAAATTGATTAGATTAGATATTTTAATTTATTAAATTTGGTTGAAAATATAGTTAATATGTTTAACCTATAATTAAAACTAAAAAATATTTCATATAATATTAATTAACAAATATCTTATCTTGTTTTTATTAAAAAATCCTAAATTTTAAAATTAAACTTCTAAATATATATAATAAAAATATAAAAATTTCAAAAATTTATCATATGATCTTAGCTTTTTACTAATATTTTCTAAATGCTTTAATATAAACCTTATAAAATTAATATATAAATTTTCATTAATTACCTTCTATTTTTTCTTATTAACCTTATAAAAATATATTGCTTACCTAATTTTCTTTAATAACCATAATATTAATCTTCTTTTTAATATTTTATATATTATTACTCATGATTCTCAATTGAATTAAGATATAAAGAAGAAGATGGCTAATTGAAAACTTAAGAACAATGATTCTAAAGTAAAGTGATTATAAACTTGACTTAATAATTAAGATTATTATCTTATTAAATATTTATCTATTTTGAAAGTTTTGGAATACTTACTTAAATAAATTTTTAGTTATAATTTTCTAGTAAAGCTCATTATTTATGTTTTTTATAAATATATAAAATCTAATAGTTTTTTTTACATAAAACATACTTACATACAGACTTTAAAAGAGTATTTTAGTATAACTTATATTAGTATTATTTTTCCAATTTTGTAATGAATTAACATTATATTATGAAATATCTAATGTTAATTCATCAGAAATACGATATTATTTTAATATTTTTCTTGATAAGATTTTACTTAAGTGATATAACTATTTATAATATCTTGGGTAAGAAAAGAAACTGAATGAGGAATATAAATTTTTATACTAAAGTCTTGAAGGTTTTTCTAATAATTTGAAGTATAATATCAAGATTATATTTCATTAATTAATGCATATTTGTATAATTTTATAATAAGATAACAATACTAATAAAAAGAAAGATTTTTGGATATCCTTATAACTTTTTGCTTAAGATCATTCATTTTTTAAATTATTTGGCCTATTTGTATGGATATCTAATGATTTTTTGAAGGTCTGCAACTTTATGAATGCTATTTTTTTATAAAACTCTAATACATTAACAGCACTCTTTTAGTAAAACTATTGTGTTATACTTGTAATTGTTAAGCTACAAATATTTATTAAAATATGTTGTAAACAATTTGTTTACATCATATTTTATATTATTATTTAGGAAATTCCATGTGATTGACTCCAAAAATCTAAAAAAAATTGTCAGTTTTTTTACCAGAATTGTAACATACTTTTTTTTTAAAAAATCTTTAAATTTATATAAATAACATTAATAATAGTTTTTTTTAAATCTGTTAAACAAAAATAAATTAAACCCAAAATAATTTTCTATAACAATTTTCAGATTTGCTAGATATTAATGTCTAAACAAAAAGCATGATTTATGAGTCTTTCAATGCATTTATAAATAATATATAATTGTATAAATATGATTAATACTAAAATTCCATTCATAATCCAAATAAAAAGACTGTTTTAGATATGTTTATAGGTAATCTAACAACATTTTTAATTCTTCTAATGATTGATGAAATGCATTACAAGATAAAAGAAACGTGTGCATTTTTTCTGAACCGATAGTTACTATATTTTATTTTGAATAATTTGTATAGCCTGATCATTAATTTGTTGTATACGCTCTTTCAATATATTAATTGCTTTTATAACATTAATTTGGCTAGCTTTTGCGACATGATTGTGATCGAAGCATGTTGAAAGATGATCTATCTATAGTTATTACTCGTTTACAGCATTATAATAAATTATGTTTCACAAGACCAGTAATATAACTTTATTTGAATTTTATATTTATTCATAAGATAACCATTTTACCTTTATTATACAGAAGAAATAACTGTGTTTGATTTCCATTAAAATAGAAGTTACACGTTAAACTAGGAAATGGGGACCGTTGTGAGTCCTGAGCGAATTATTGGACGAAAATCACATGGCGGACAGAGAAACGCTAACATGATCAAAATTTACTCAATGCATAGAAATATATAGTCCTTCGCTTCGCTCAGGACAATTATGTCGGTAAAATGATTATGTTAGCAAAGTCAATATAAGCACATATTTCTTAAGACCAAAAAAAATTGGTGGTTATAGAAAGCACTATAGAGGAGTATTTAGAGGTTGGAACCGGATATATCAATCCGGATTTAAATTTGGTTTACTGTAAACCGATTCTTTGTTAATCCGAGTTATGATTTCAATCGACCGTAAAACCGGTTTTATTTCCCTTGGTTAGTTATACAAAATTGAATCATTATTTAATTTCTATAACCTGAAAACGAAGAAAACTAATATTTTATTGATTTTTCATTGATGTTATATATGTTGTATTTTATCGACCCGATGTTATTAAACGAACCATTTTCTACTCTTCTAAATTGTCAATTTTCTCTGATCCCTATACCCACTATAAAAATTTTAAAGACGAAAAATTATTCTCACCAGCGAATAGTATCGTCTAATTATTTCTTGGTTTTTACTCCCCAATTCGTTCTTCGGCAATAATAACGGCATTATATAAATATAATTTGTAATGTTAAACTCCTTTTTCTACCTTCCTTGGTTTCTTTTTTTCACAAGAGATATTTTGGTAGAGACGTATCTTGATTTCTCAGCAGCTGATGGACATATAAAACGACAAATTTTATGACTGGTTCTATAGGGATCCTTCAACAAAACACTTGGGACATTTGTTAGTTTAAATTAATAACAGAGTTATGTTTACAATTTCCGCTATAAAATAGAACAAGATGACTAAAAAAAAATACTAAAAATTTGGTTACAGCAATTATTCAAGTAGTTTTATTAACACGCTAAACATGAAATATACAAAATAATAGATAATAATAATACATCAGATTAAACAATGCAAAAAAATAGAATACATCAGATTGAGTAATAATAGAAAAAATTTAAAAAGGAATCCAGAATATGATATATAATTGAAAAATTATGCGCAATCACAAGCCCAAGTAAATTCATTGGGAGAAGTACACAATATACTACAACCAGTACAATTATTAGTACAAACTGCAGTTCCAGAACCGGAGCAGTCCCACGTTACCACATTGGTTAGATCACAATTAGTGAGAGATACAACAAAAGGTGCGCAGATAGGACAACTAACGGCAGCGCGTTTAACCAAATTAGTGGGAGACGCTGAGACAACGAAAATAAGAATCGAGAGAACCGAGAAAAACTTAAGAATATTAAGACCCATTGTAATCTAAAGAGAATAAAAAGAATATTAACAACATACGAATAGATTTAAAAATATTTACGGACTGAAAAAAAATCCCTACATATGAAGTAAGCGAAATGTAAACTACAGAGGGCCGCCAAAAGTCTCCGAACACTGCGATTCAATATCGGCAATTTCATGTGACTTAGAAATACTGCGGTCATATGACGTTTCGAACCTTGTTTACATGATTCGTACTTTAAAATG